TGTAGCCTATATGTTGACTTGACCTGTTAGTAATATTCACGTTCAGTACTTTTTGAGTTTATCCCAGACGTACATAAAGATAAATAGACAATAATTAAAGAAACTTAATTATTTTTTTGATATCGATTAAACACACCCCAATTATTATTTTAAAAAAACATTCAATGAACTGTTTTGACTTTCCTACGATTTTATTATATGTGTATATGTATAGATTAGCAGCTAGCAATAAAATCACCATCTTCTAAAATGGAGACCAAGAGACAGTACAAACATAATTATGAACATAGCAACAGGAGGCATACGTTTTACGTAAATAATTAACATTTGGGTCGAAGTTACATGTGTAAGACTCTGACGAAGTTACCAACTTGGTCAGATGGATTCCTGAACATCCTCGAACCCATTACCTGTCTACAATTAAAATGGTTAACTCGAAATACTCCAAACTAAGGATCAATTAGTCGTTAATAAAGTTAACAATTCGTAACACAATTGCCTTAGTTAAAGCTACTAAGTTAATCTCCAGTTAAAGCCGTTATGTCGCTGGCAGGCAGCCAGGTAAACCACGTTTAATGATTACAACAATTTGTATTGTTAGTCGTTACATTTAAAGAATTTTGTTGAAATCTGTGAGACCTGCTGAGTGAAACGTAGACTTAAAAAAATGCCTGGTCTAGTTATATAATTTACTAATTCTATGATTATTAGCATTATTTAATATTACTACGTAATCGATGTTTCAAAGTTTCCTGTTATAAATAAGTACATATCCGGAAATATTTTTTTTACAAACCTCACAAATCCTTAGAAAGGACGACTTGTTGACCTTACGAATTTCACGATTTCTTAGCTACCTCTAATGACATCTAGCGGCGCAGACAGACAACTCCCCGCTAAGTCTGCTCCTGTCTGACACACCTTATAATTATGTTAACACGTTCGAGGACGCTACCACTTGAGTCGGGTTTTCAAAATGACACAGTAAATGTCTATACAAAATTATACGACGTATCAGTACGTAGTGTCCCATGAAGAAATATCGTTTTAAGCATATCATGACACAATCGTTTTATCACGTCAACGTGTATATGCATCTAGGTAAGGATCCGCCTCGTTGGAGATGTCGGAATCATCAAACATGCTTATCTTGTGTCTTATTTTGCGCTTATATCCATCTAAAACACACAATAACCCATTAAACATCAATTTCACACTGTAAAATCATTAATTTGCATTAAAGTAATGCACACAGTGACACAGCCGCGCTGAATGTAGGAGCGCGGGACGTATAAACACGTTGTGCGTATGTGAATACCGTAACCGCACACTATCAACGACACTTATTTTAAATAGTTCTAAACTTACCCTACGTGACAGTACAGAGTTGGGTATTTTATATGTTGTGACACAAGATACATTTAAAAGGATTTTTACTTGAACTTTCATCGGAAATGAACGTTCTGCCGTATAATTTAAATGTTATTTGAACGTCATCGTACGTTGTGCGATATTAAAATCTCGAACGATGACGTATAATCTCGTTCTGTCCTCGAACGTGTTAAATGACACCGACCCTTTCTGTATACACCCCTAAGAGAAACATAGACTAATTACTCCATCATGGTAAAGTAACACATCTTCAAATAAAACCTATTAAAATTAGCATATGCCGCGCCCGACAGTAATTACATCATAGCGTTTAATTACTTCCCAACCGTTTACCGGCTTAGTAATTAAATACAGAGAAATTTTACGGTAAAACTGTGAGCAATGGAAGAACCTGTCTGTTCAGATAAATGTAGCTTCTAGAACATTGTAGGCATTAGGTAGTCTACAAATTTAAGGCTATATACCTAATATTAGTTAATTTGTGTGAATTTATATTTTATTCGCTAAATGAATTTATTAACTGAGCTACCTATAATTTCCGACCAACCCATAATTAGTTATTAGTACATTTAGTAGTAAACATACAGTTACATAATCAAGTCAAATCATTAAGTATAAAAGTACAAGTAATGACTTTCTCTCTACTTATCCTCAATATATTTCTATGGGTATTGAACAAAAACGGTCACTATCAAGTACTAGGCTCGCATGACATGTGAAGAGGAATGGTGATAATTGTTCTGTGGGTCACAAAACTCGGTAGAACGTTTACCTCTAGCGCATGTATTGTCCTCCGCTGAAGGCGACTGACAATGGAAACTTACCCGGGGCGCGCCGGACAACTTGCACCCAACACCGATGTATTAGCACTGGATTTACTTAAGTTATTGATACCTATCTTAAAACCTCAAAGTTAAAAAAATAGATTAGATCTTTAAGTTGATTAAACCTATTTACTTTATTAACTCTTCAGGCTTATCTGACATTTTGACGCTTTGGAAAATTTTCGTGCATTTCACGGAAATGTTTCAAAGAAATTAGATTCTAGGATTCTGAAATAAATGTACAAGAAAATTTCAGGGTCTGATCTGCAGCCTGAGCTGGCTGTCTTCGTGAAATGCAATTTTCCATCTCGGAAGTGATTAGGTGCGGTAATGACTTATTACATTAGCGTGTCGCCGCGGCCGGGCGCTGGGCGCTGGGCGCTGGGCGGTGGATGCAGCTTTAGATCGAGGTCAACTAGTTTACAAACTCGCTACTGTCTAGCTGTCTTAATTCAGTTCTGCTGTCGCAGCCGACCGCTGCGGCACCGCTGCGATTTGCCGACGATAAACTTGCGTTAAACTGTTGTTCACTAGAGTGGGACCGTTTAAAACGGGAACTTTTTCAATTATTCCTGTTGTAGTTTATTGGATTCGATTCGAAGCTAGCAAGTTATTTGATTTGCAAGTTCCTGCAATGCCGTTGAAAACTTGTACAACTAGTTATGAAGAGAGATTGAAGAAAATTTCTAGAGATGCTGAGATTGTCGCTAACAAAGACCTCATAACAAAAGTCGACGCTTGGAGAAGACTTTTATTCTTTGAGCGGATAGTTGTAGGTAGGAACCGCGGCATATAAATATATATATAACTTAGAGACGTTACAAAAACCTCGTGTATCGTAGGTAATATCTAGCTAGGTGCTTGTCTTGATTCAGTACCGAGTAGATAAATGATTTGATGAGCCCAAGACAGTTTCTTGTGAGAGACGATTTGTATAATCACATATTCTGTTATTAAACTAAACTTATACAGACCATAGTTTTTCAACTGTACCTCAGAAAGTCCTGCTGTTTTAAAAGTGTATGAAACAATATTTTCCAATATTAAAACTGTATTTCAAATCGAGTCGCAACAAAAATTCGATTTAGTAACTTTGTAAAACGTGCCAAAGTTTAGCAAAGTTACCAACTTGCCGTCATATCGTGGGCAGAATATGTGCTCGAGACGCTTGAAGCCAAGATCAACTTTACCTGAAAGACCATAGAGACCACATTCGATTGATTTAACGCATAAACCGTTGTTATTAAGAAAGATGTGATGAACATCATTGTAAATATTTAGTCAGTCGTTTCTGACGTTCATATTTACCTTACTGTTGCTTTGAAATAATATAACATCTATATATATGTGTCCCTGTATATACAGATACAGATTCATTTGTGTACTTTAAATATATTTGATGTGAAATAGGTAAGATGACAGAGTAATATAATGTAGACATTTTGACTTTGAAGTCCTCAAACAAGTATCCATTGAAGTTACATGAATTATTTTTACCTTCGCACAAATCTTTCTTGTATAACGGCAACAAAATAACTTCAAAAGATATTATGATAAAAGGAGCACTCTAAAGACCTTTTCCCTGTATCCAAATCCTGTCAGATTTATGTGAAATGCTTTCACGTAGTCGAGAAATAACTCCAAATAAAAACAAAATAGGCTATCTTAGGGAACCGTTTTAGTAAATCATAAAACAAATAGTAAGATCTGGTGAACAGGACTCGCGTGGCCGGTGTGGCGGTGGGCAGCGTGTACTCGGCTCCGCTAGATTATGTTAAATGGGTCGGCCTGTGTTTGAGATCATGATCCGACCACTTATAAAACATAGTTCGGCTGCGAGCTCCATTTACCGCTGGTCACTCTAACCGGATCGGGCCGGTTAAATCCGGTAAGTGGGTCTCGGTGCTCGAATAAATCCCCATATTTTTGTTATTGCCGGAGAGGATCCCTGCCTTCTTTGTATACGACCGAACCGGACTGGGCGGCGTGCCGCCTGCCGGCCCTGCCTCTGTCGCTTGCCTCGGCAGCGTCTCTTTCTAATAATATTTTTTTACTTTTCTTGTTCACATAGGGGACGACTAGTAATAAAATAAAAATAATGTGACACTACCATATCATATTCATTCCATGACAAAACACTAACGTTTAGTCGAACGAACCTGGTAAGACTCATACATATATAACATCACGCCTTCTCCGAAGGGGAAGGCAGATGTGCACATTATGCCACTGTACAATATAACACCCACTTTTCACTATTTATGTTACAAGTTCCATGTAATAGTGGGTGAGCCTATTGCCATATACCGGAAACAATTCCAAACTCCGTGCTACTACTGAGATTTTTTTTAAACCCAGTAATACTATGCCCGACCCGGGAATCGAAGCCGAGACCCCCTGCCCAGCAGATTAAGACTAAATTAACTAAGATTAAGACTCATGTAAAATAATATCCAAGAAAACTTTTTTACGCAATTGCGTTACTTTCAATATGTATATTTGAAAACAATTCAAAATACTTAAAGTTATAGAATATCGATCAAACATTGTCGAATGTCGAAGTGGTCCCACCACTAACAAATCTTCGTGATTACAGTCAATTTAGATGATTCCACTCTTGTAATTCAGACGCATCTATATTTTAAATTGACATTTTGCTGTGTGTTTGATTATAAATCGTCCAACCTTGAGACCGGAATTATTGGAACGATCACAAAGTGTGACGGCAGGTATTGAGGCATGTTATAATCATTCACTAACCAACCGTCGTTACCTAAATATTTATCATTTCTTTTTCTTCTTCTCTTCTTCCTCTAATCTCTTTCTGAGCGACTCTGGCATGTCTGGAGGTGGAGGACGAGGCATTTTGGTATACACCTTGAAAGCGTCGTACACAAACCACTGCAGGCCTGTGAGCGTACCGATCATAATGATACGCGCAACCAGGCCGCGCCAGATGCCCATGAACCCCACATCTCTAATAATACTGCCGACGCTGGAGCCAGGGTCCTTATTCAACTTGGAGACGAGCGTATCAGAGGGATGTGATACTATCGCGCACAGAACACCTGCAATGTACCCGGCAGTGAATGTTACTATCAACTGTTCCACCTTCGTACATTGGGCCCTGGGCTTTGGCACAACTTTTTCGTACAATAGCTCCAAAGTTTTTTCAAATGAAGCAAACTTCATCATCGTGTAGGGCACCTGTCGTCCCCACAGCGGTGGGAGTCCCTTATAGAATGTTCCTATACCTTCTGTGCTGAGCATGTGCGGCATGGCCTTCCTCATCATTGATGTATAGCCAGGCGTTGTCTGCATCCGTACCTTAGTGGCTTCAAGTGGTGCCAGGAAAATATCGGCAACAAATTCGGCAGAAGCTGCAGCTGCCAAGTACAGGTACGTTCTGTATAGGTAAGCGGATTCTAGGTCGACCATATTGGAATACTTATACTTGAAGTATTCGTATCCAGCGAACTTCAAGGCCCCCTGTATTGAATACCCAAAAAAAGTGGGCGCCCAGCCTTTCACGAGATTTGCGGCCCCGCCATCTCTGTAGGACACAACGAAACCTGTTGCGATGGACTTGTACTTTTGGGGGTCCACCTGCAGCCGGCACTTGACCAGGTCGAGCGGCGTCACGAAGGTGTGTGTAGTACCGCACGCAACTGAACCTCCGACGGCGCACAGGATGAAGAACTTGTTGCTGAACATCTTACATGAAAATTCTTCTTCACCTTTCTTGGCCATTTTGTTGGTATTTTTCTAAGTCTATGTGTTTGTGATATTAATGAAACCGACAAAAAGACTCTTCCGTCGTATTTTGTACCTACATCCCGTAAAACGGAATTACTGGGAATTTTTTTCAAAAACTTACGTGTTCTTATATTTCAATGTTATGATCATCTTATTGTCATTTTGCTGTGACAGTATATTTATTTTTTACGATTATGAATGCCATAATATGCACCAAAGAGAACGTATATCTAGTTACACACCAATAAATAAATATTAAGTATAAATATTTTAGTAAATATTTTAGTTTTAATTATTTATTTCAATTCTTACACTTCTTAGTGTAAGATTAAACACGATAAATGTATTTATTGTTATACACCTATATTAAAAACAATTTATTGTAGTAGTAGGTATTGAGTAGGTATAAATAGTACCGTCTTTACCACAGAACATATAAAGTAAGGGCACTCGGGACCCGTACCCAGGGGGCCTCGAAGAACCAACAATTTTTACGACTGACCTACACCCACTACACGTTGCGCGGCAACCGTCTGCCCCGCAACGTGTAGCGGGTTCGATCCCGCACGGATTGAATCTTTGAGTGACCTACAAATTGTTGTTTCGGGTCTGGATGTCATGTGTATGTGAACTTGTATGTAAATGTAAATGCACCCGCGAACAGGAGAAAATCCTAATGTGGAAAAAAAAGAAACATTTCACAAAGACCCCGAAGTATTGTGTGGCCAAGAGCCCTAGGTTTCAACCGTGGACACGTAATAATAAATATGGTACGCTCAGTGCCACCACAGGGGAGGATCACCTCTAACGATGATCTTATTTATCACAAGCTGTTACCCGCGACTTCGTCCGCATAAAATAAAGACTTTTGGGTGGTTAGAAATTGGATTTTTTAATTAGTCTTTGCCAAGGTATATCTTTGTAATATATGTATGTCATCACTGTAACAAATGCCATCAGAATCGATTTAGTAATTAGGTTATATTTATTGCAAAATGAATTTATTTTCGTGGTTCTAAAAAATAAACAGATTGTGGCTAATGCCACAATAACTATTACAATAACCTAATGATTAGTTACATACATATGATTCGTGGACTTTTATGTTGATTTATATTAATATCCTCTACAAGACTCTATATCTAGAGGAGATGGCATCCCAGTCTCCCTCGCTCTGCACCATGGCCTGAACCAGTGCCGGGCGCGAGAGATCGCCGTCGTCGATCACATCCCTGAAGACAGGGCGGTGCTCAGCCTACGCAGGGCACACCACCACCGTATGTTCCACCGTATTCTCCGGGTGATGATGACACCCGGACGTTTCTTCCCACCCAATCCGAAACAGGAACTTACAGAAACTTGCGTGTCCGGTAAGCACCTGCGTCAGGCGGTAGATGAGGACTCCGTAGCGTCTCTCAAGCCACTCCTCAAAGAGGGGACTTACCGCTGCAATAACAGCGAACCCAACCTAAAGGAGACTTGCGCCGTTTAAATGAGGTTACCGTACCCTACCAGTCCCCAAATCCCCCACAATCCTCAAATTCCTAATTCCTAAAAGTCCAGTAACGCACTTCAAACGCCTCTGGGGTTTCAGGTGTCCATGGGTGGCGCAGATTGTTTACCATCAGGAGATCCGTCTGCTCGTTTACCGGTTTATGCCATAAAAAACCAGCAAACTATCATTGTAAATTTGGCCTTGACGGATTAAAATAAAAAGGACTAATAGTATTATTCAGATCTGTGTAATTAGCTTTTTGTTATATGAAAAATAAGAATTCACGTTAACTGAAGATAATTTTTATTCGTGGTTTTCCCTCGTCAAAATGCTGTCAACCTCTTTGCATATCTTAACTCGTCGAGTACCGGTTTTATAGACACAATTAAAGAACAATAGGTCGCGGTCACCGGTGACCGCTTGGTGTTTGACAGTTTAATGTTAATATCGTAATATGAAAAAGAACTATGACACATTGACAAATTAGTGTGTGTCTGTTTATTTGTCCTTCTTACACGGCAGAACGGAGCAAAGAGTATAATGAACGGAGCTAGAAAGATTTTTTGATTGGAGATAGTTGAAAGGATGGAGAGTAACATACGTATTTTTTGTTTGGAAGTTTGTATGGAGTATTTTGCAATTTTCAAGGCAGATAGCTAAAAATTCAAATCATGCACCATTTAATTTTTTTTGTAAATATTGCCCTCAGCCCGTTAAAAGAGTGCAAACGAAGCCACAGGCAGAAGCTAGTCCATCAATGCTTTGTATTGTATTCAGTTAATTTAATTCCTATTTTTTGTTCAAAATAGTTAAGACCCTGATGCAGCTGAATACAAATATTAGTCCTTGAAAACCCACAGAACTTCATTTTCGACTAATGTTATGGTTACCATGGTAATGTTACCTGTCGATTCCTGGGTCGGGCAAAGTCTTACTTTATATTATTAATTACTGGGTTTAAAAAAAATTCTCAGTAGCAGCACGGAGCCTGGAATTGTGCCCGGTATATGGCAATAGGCTCACCCCCTATTACATGGGACTCATAACATAAATAGTGAAAAGTGGGTGTTACATTGTACAGTGACATAATGTGCACCTCTTCATACCCCTTCGGAGATAAAAGGCGTGATGTTATGTATGTTAATATTAGTAGGATTGACATGACATGAAAACCACACTTCGAATTAAAAATTTATTAATTTCGTTTTGATCCATTTCACCTTAAATCTAAGTTAAAATAAAAATAGTTCTTATGATATTTCTAACTAACGCAACTAAATATTTTATATTAATTTTAACATTGTATACACATATTTACAAAAAAGACTATTGCATTGGTTTTTGTACTTTTAATAGAAGAAATTAAAAGGGTCAAAGTTAAATATATTTTCTAAAATATTTCACAATCACTTTGTATCATCGTACAACCGTTACCTGGTGCAACTCGTTAACATTTCAGATTGAATATAAAAATAAATAAATAGGGAGGTAATTATTTAAAGTCTTCTTTCCTACGTAAAGTCAATTACAAATAGGTACAATAATATGTTATGTACTTTATTACATCAAGTTATAATATCGTTTGATACACAAAATAAACGTAATAACACCATTTAAAAAAATGCTTGTGGTACTGAAAATTACTTTGATTTAATAAATAGAGTAGAAGAAATAAGACCTTAAATAAATGATGATTAGTTCGGTTATGATAATGAGAATAAACTACTCACTGGCTTTTATATAAATGGCAAATGAACTAGTGATGTATTGTTAATATTACAAAATTATCGATTCTATTTCCATAACAAAACATCGATATTACGTCGATCGGTATAATCGTCAACTAACTACGTATTATGCATTCAATCTCACACAAATTATTTAATACTGCCGACGAGGCCGACCGAGTCGACCCGGCCCGACCCGATGGAAACATGCGGCAAATATTTTGTGGGGACGGCCATATTGAAATTTATAAAACTTTATTAAAATAATCGCAGTAACTGAATCGATTCTCACATGAACATCAAAACACAACAATTCCGTCGACACATAATATTTAGTCACACATTAAACAGAACCAGTCTATCATTTCAATGACACATCAATTAATTTCAATTGTGTAGTGAGACTTCATCGATACATTCCAATCGGGGAACCTTAGCGATATATTCGACAAATCAATTAATTTTATAGTAACTTTAACAATTTACGTACAAATTGGCAGTCGTTGAAGTTGGCAGTGTTATAAATAAGGAGTATATTTACAAGTCTCACTACTGGACACAAAATAGTAGCTACTGACAGCGCCCCCTGGACTACTTATCGACGATTTAATAAGGCACGAGGTAAGGGAGACATTTCGTCGATATTTGCGCATACGTCGGTGTGTGGAAGGGTAGCGCTTTCTGTAGCGTTGTAGGCGGCGTGTGACGTCACGGTCAGCGAGCCAATGGTGCCACGCGCACGGACACATACAGTCGCAGCGGCGCCGGCACCTCGGCTGCCTGGCGCCGCGTGCGCCGCCTCGCCACGCTTACCGGGGGCGCCACGAATCGCGCTTCCAGTTCCAGTTGTCTCTCCAGGGCCGCCTGTGACACAAAGACCATGTAACCACCAAACCAGTAAAACTACAACTTAGAGATTAAAAAGGTTCGAAAATCAAACAACAAGCAGGACTTGCAGATTTTGACTAAATGTATAAGGTTAACGCCTCAAATCAATTACCATATATTATTTGTGTAATATTTAGTATTCAAATACCTAACGTATGAACAACAATATTGAAAATCCACCATGCACTTACCTGGCTCTTAAGATGCCTTCGCAGCCTGAGCGCCCAGGTGCCATCTCGCTTGGAGAGCACGAAGTCTTTCTGGTCGTCTCCGTAGGCGATGCGGTAGTGTGCGCGCGCGCCGCCCTCGGCCGGCAGCAGGCGCAGCAGCGGCGCGCGGCCCCACGTCTGCTGCGGCGTCGCCGACACCACGATCAGCTCCGCTTCAGGCTCCAACAACGAGCGCCGACCTGGTCAACAAGCAATAGAGAGATTTAGGAATCAACCTTCCCCAGCTGCCAAACACCTAAACTGAGTATATTATGTTGGTTTTATAATTCGGAACATACCAAAAACTATTTCCAGAAATTTTTAGCATTTAAGATATAATACAAGATTTTTGTAAAAGCTATTGTGATACTTACGTCGACTTCTCCTTTTCCGTTTTCGTACAATCATTGTGCCATTAGCGTATACTATCGCTTCATCTGGAGCTCTTCGTCTTCGGCCGTTCACCTTTAAAACATTTTAAAGATTAATGTTTGAAGCTTTAATAGTATTAACGTATGTACCTTAAATGTTTGTTTCTTAAACCAAAATTCTTTAGAATCTATCTCCTTACCTTACAACTGAAGCAACCTTCGGTAGATATCAAGTCTTTGTCACCGCCAATCTTATACTGATCGCGAACAGGGAAGACTGGAGCGTCTCCGATATCATCAGGTG